TTTAAAAATAAAAAAAAATAGCTTTTGGAGGCCTTTTTTTTTTTTTCTTATAAAACCTGGCAAGTAAGTGTTTGCTACAAGCTTGTTTCATTTTCAGGGATTTAAAGCATTAATTTGCATTTTTTTTTTACCTTAAGTAAGTATATTTTAACATAATGATCTTTTACAAAAATTGGATAGCATCATTGCTAATTTAATTTAGACCTGCTGGACACTATTGGGTTTCAAACTTGTATGTATTTAGGAAAAAATAAATAAATTAGGAAAACTTAAATTGTAACTGTATTTTATTTTGATTGTGTAGAAGTTGTAAACTATTAATTTTATTACAAACTAATAAATGGTGCAAGTTCAATATATATATATAAAACTTCTACATCTTAGAGAAAGCTCCAAAAATAAAAAGTGTTTTCCTTATTTCCATGGTCATTCATTCACATCCCTGTATTATGAAAATGCAGTACAGGTAAAACACTTAATCTTTTTCATACATAATATTTATTTACATGAAGTTCCCAAACCTCATTTTTCTTACATCCACATGCTCGAGTACAACAAAGAGATGGTATTTCTTCCATGTAAAGCACAGTGTTTGAAAACATTTTGTGTACTCGTAGGTGATGGTTTCCAAACAGTTATCTATAAAAAATGTCCTATATTTATTGTTTATATGAGAACAGCATTACAGTATTTGCTTGTCAAACAAGTATGCAGCTTGTACTGTTGTAAACAGATATGAATTACTTGCTCAGATTTCTGTAATAGTATGCATATAAAGTACTCATTTTCAGCCTAATTACAGTATTCTGATATGATCACTGAATCTTGTCACTGGTTACCAGCTGTGCATTGTGTAAGCATATGGACAGCTACTGGCAAGTTAGTATTCACAGTAGACTAATGCACTTCTACTTCGAACGTGTGGAAACAGTTTACTTGTACTAAAATGACGAAATTGCATAGTTGATTATCTATGATGTGTATAATGATCACATCTTGGAAATTACAGGTACTAACTTTAAATGAGAATTAGAGGCACTTGGAGAAGAAAGAAAATTTGGAAAACTTGTTAGATACAACACAACAAATTAGAATAAGTTAGTGATCTTTATTTAAAAATGCCCCTACTCTCGCTTTTAGAACTAATTTTCTAAAATGATTGAAATTTTCAAATATTATTAATTCTGTTCTGACCAATCCATACATTGCTTCCCACATAATCAGAAACACAAAGTTGAAGCTTAACATTTTAACTGCTCTATAAATAACCAGAAAAGAAAAACACTATTAACATGAATATTAAAGAATTAACTTAATTCTATTATTTATGACATAATTGTGGGAGTTTTTTTGTACTCTGTTGTATTGTCTCACTTAGCTTTTCCTTAATGTATGTAGTCAGGGTTTGAAACTATTTAGCCAATTCTTTTAAAAGTTTAAAAAAGCCTGAAACACCAATTGAATATGTTATTATTTGCTGTTTTAAACTTGGGGAATCATATTTTGAAAAATGTCAGAATAATATACAACAAGCTACTGAAAAAGGCTATTAATTGATTACTGTGCTGTGGTTTCCCCCTTTAATTTTGTACTTACAGGCAACTTTTTTTCAAAATTGTTTGACTGATTATTCATAATACATGCCTGGATTATCAAGTGGCAAAAATTGTCAGTGCCCTTTATCACCATTATCTAAACATTAGAACCAACTCGAGTGCTAATTTTAAGCCCTGATATAATTACAAGGAAGCGAGTAAACTTCCCAGTTTATTTGGTACAGATGTGATGGACGACGATGGTCAGTGGCTTCTCTACCTTCTTCAGGATACGGAACTAATACACCAGGAAGTTCAAATGTTTCTGTAAGTTGCTGTTGCTGAACATGAACTCCATATAATTTCATATTGTAGCAACTGTCTACATATATATTTAAGTTTTTGATTTTCAGAAATGTTTAACTCGTGTGGCATGAGGTGGATTAGTATTGAAATGAGTGTTAGGAACAAAATGTTTCTATGTGTGTGTAAAAGTATTTAAACATGATTTTTAAGTCACACCTATATAAAAATGTAAGAAACACTTGTGTGTTCTTTGTGTGTGTGTGGGTGTTTCAGTGTATGATATATAAGACTCAGTCTATTTTTGACCGTGTAGGTTTCAGCATGGTGCATTAGCTTAAGGAATTGGTATTATACACTTTTCTGTCTTTGGCTCACTGGATTTTTTTTTTATTTGTGGACATTTTTAATTTATTGTGGTTATCAACATAAAGATAAAGATTAACTTAAAATATCTTTACTAGAAAGAGTTTAAGAATAACTAATTTCCATGAAATCCTTTTATTGAGTTTTGTTTTTTTGCTGAGTAATGAAGTCTGGTGCTCTTTGCCAACTTCTTTTAAAGAAAAAAAATGTGTTGAAACAGAAAATGAGGATTAGTAATAGACATTAACATCAGATCTTTATAGTTCTTTATATAACACACTGGAGTTTACAACACAAGACGTTTTTATTAAGGTAAATAATATAATGACTCGTATATCCAGAATGTATTTCATTAGCTCAATATTTCACTATCACAGCTTTGTCAGGAGCTTGTATGGTATTGACAGCAACTGCAAAGCTCTAATAGTGAAATATTGAGGTAATAATATTAAAAAAAAGAACAACCTATATCTCCAGAATGTATTTTATTAGCTCAATATTTCACTATCACAGCTTTGTCAGGAGCTTGTATGGTATTGACAGCAACTGCAATACTCTAATAGTGAAATATTGAGGTAATAATATTAAAAAAAAAGAACAACCAATATCTCCAGAATGTTTAATTGCATGATATATTTAATGTATTAGTTTGATTTATTTATTGTGTGTGTGTGTATATATGTAATTTCTTTTTTATATGTTTTTTTTTTATTATGAGCATTATTTTGCATTATTAGCTCAAGTTATAGATTTGAGATTATTCTAAGGTTTCTAATTTGTTTGAATTTCATTAGGTATTATTGGAATTACCCTTGAAAATATCCCTAACAGTGAGAGTATCTAATGGTTGAATCAGTGCATTCTAATCGTTATAAATTTTTATTTTATGAAATTTGATTCTCCTAGTTAGAATAGTATATTAAATTAGTTACATTTTGTATTGGGTTAATTTTTGGTTCTGACCTATGCAGGAGATTGCATTGATCAGAAGTTTTTAGTATTTTTAGATTGAGCCACCAAAATTGATGACAAGGAGAAATGTTTTCATCATGAACTTCCCATTGTTTACATGAATTTATTAGGTGTTGATGATAAAGAGCTCAAAAATTTTTTAATATTCAAATTAGTAACTTGTTTTTATTCTGTTTACTACCTGTGTGATTAATTAAAATATTGACAATATTTTTGTTTAAATTTTTGTGTTATTCATCTGTTACTAGAGACCATGTGTCCAACAAAGTTGTGTACCAACAGCCAATTTGGTGCATAAATAGTTTAGAAAAATGTATTCAAGAATCAACTAGGACAATATGGAACCTAGGTGTAATTCTATAATAGATATTAGTTGTTTTTTTGTAAGAAACATTCTGAAAAAAGTTGCTAAGTTAGGAGTTTTAGAACAAAATGTAATATTTTTTATAGTCCTATGAATACATATATTCTTAAACATCATCATCATCATCTTTAAGTTGAGGAATCACGTATAGCATATGAAAGATTCTAAAGCATGCCTAACACAAAATAATTATCAAACCGATAAGAGGAAATTGGAACTTTGGTTACTTATTATTGTGAGACTGAATTATAAGTTGTCTTTTTTTTCTAATTAGGATTTAATGATTTACATTTACACTATTAACTTTCTCAACATGGGGTTAGTCAAATTGACCAACCCTGTAACTACTTTGTTTCCGTACTATAACTTTTAAAACAGTCTGTATATCTTCACAAAATTTGGAAAACTTTTAGTAAGCATCACAAGTCTTTTGTACACAAAATATCAGATTTTTTTATTGAAGGATATTTACTAAAGATTTGTCTGTGAATATAGTGCATCTTTTGTTTTTTACTAGTCCTAGTGCAAAGTGATTTTCATGTTAAGATTAAAAATACTTTTCATCATCCTATAAATCTCAAATTTTATTTGCATAAGCCAAACTCCTAAATACATACTTTTTTCAGTAAAACTCTATTTTATCTATTATTACATTTAAGCTAATGATATATTTGATTCTTCAGCCAGTAGACAAATCATCAGAGTATAATGAAAAGTTGTAAAAATCAGAAATAAAAGGAGTAGCTGTTTCCTATTTTCTTTATTATTTATCATGAAGTTTCAAAGTACATCTCTTGAGAGTTTCAACTACTAAACATTTCACATATATTTTGTGTTTATTTTACTGTTAATGAATGAAGTAAAAACCTGCTGAAATATTGGAACAAGTCACCACTTGTGTCATTGAGTATTTAAGTGACACCGTAATATGACACTCTCAGAAAGTAACAAAGCTTGCATGAAGAAATAAGTTGACTTGCCCCCTGATCCAAGAACATGATGTGGGATTTATCGGCTCCTACAATGTTTTCAACAAGAATTCTTCAGAGTAATAAGATTGCACTTGGAATGTTTGAAAATGTTTTTATTATGTGGTTCTGTGCAGATACAATAAACATTGCAGGTGTTTAAGTATTGGTTATCTTTCTGGGGTGTTTGGAATTTAGAGGCATAGGTGTATAGGGATGTTATTTGTGCAAATTTTGCAAAATACAGTAATATTTTGGCTACCATGCATTACACACACACACACACACATGTAATGTCTACTGGCTGAAGGATCAAATATATATACATATATATATATATATATATATATACTACCATAATTAGTTTAATTTT